CTCTCTCCAGCTCCATTTCTGTCACCGAGTCCATGTTTTCCAACTACTGAATCTTCTTCTTTGTTCCCAACTTTTGCATTCCAGTCACCCATTATTATCAGTGCATCTTGATTGCATGTTCGATCAATCTCCGATTGTAAAAGTTGGTAAAAATCTTCTATCTCCTCTTCCTTTGCTCTGGTTAGCTTATAAATACATAGGTCAGAAAATTATTTCCAATAACCTGTGCATTTGGGGTTAATAAAAGGCAAAGGGAATTTCTGTGTGTTAATGTTTTACAGTGAACTTGGGGAAGCCAGAATGTGATGAAGCTGCCTTGATTTTCGGGTCTGGTATATTTTCTGCCTTTGACAGGATGCACCTTTCTATCACTCATTGTAGTGGAAGGTTTTCATAAACCCTACTTTATTTTTATTCTGTCATGTCTCCCGTTGTTATTATTGTGTACCATAGAGTCAGCACCAACCCTAGTTGATCCTCCGGCAGGTTTTCAGAGATAGTTAATCACATGGGAGGAGATTAACCATCCTTCTCCCGCAGAGCAGCTGGTGGCCTCCAATTGGCCTCCAGGATTGCAGTGCAGCTTCTTAGCACTAGGCCACCAGAGCTCCCTGTTTCTCCCTAAAATAAAAATGGGTTTTCTAAATTATTTTCAGTATCTCTTAAAGCACTAAACATCCAAAAGAAAAAAAAATCTTAGCAAATATATGATGTAAAAATACTATAAAAATATTAACCTTTCTTCCCAAATATAAGCATCTTTTGTTTAAAATGCTAACACTCGATTGTGCTCATGTGAAATCTATACTTGGACCAGGAAGCAGTGATCAGAACAAAGCAAGAAAATACTGCATGGTTTAAAATCAGGAAAGTAGTGCATCAGGGATGCGTCCTATCTTCATACCTTTTTTTATATATCTCGAAAATGTTTTAAAAGTTTTTTTTTCGATTGTTGCCTATTTTATTTTCCCCTTCCCCTTCTCCCTTTCTGCAATTTACCCCTTGTTCCTGATTGTTGTCATACATATAATGCCTAATCATGTATTCCTTTCGGACATTTCTTCTCCTCATCCCCTCTAATGCCGTAGATTGAAGGCCTTATAGATTGAAGGACCTTTTCAATCTCTATGTGGAACAGATAATTCAGGAGGCTGGGCTGTATGAGAAAGAATTTGGCATTAGGATTGTTTGAAAATTCATCAACAACTTGCATTACGCAGATGACACAACCTTGCTTGCCAAAACTGAAGAAGACCTGAAACATTTGCTGCAGAAGGTCAAGGACTACAAAACAAAGATTCTCACCACTAGGCTAATTGGTAGCACCATCATAGACAGAAAAGAGATTGAGATTGTGAACAGCTTCTGCTTGCTTGGTTCCACAATCAACACTCTTGGCACCAGCAGTCAGGAAATAAAAAAAAATGAATTGCATTAAGAAAATCTGCTGTCATTGACCTTTCTAGATTGCTGAAGAGGAAATTGTCAGTATACTGACTGAGGTGTGCCTGATCCAGGCCATGGTCTTCACAGTTACTTACTGTGCATCAGAGAGCTGGACATTGACCAAAGATAACAGAGCTGAGTTGAGGTGCTGGAGAAGAGTATTGAACACTCCATGGACTGCCAAGAGAACTAACGGGTTTGTCCTGGAGACAGTGAAGCCAAATTGTTCTTTGGTGGCAAGAATTTTGGAGCCCCATCTCCCATAATTTAGACGTTTCCCAGAGGGAAACTTGCTGAAAACCTGCTGGAGGGTCAAGAGTCGGTCATATACCATTTGATGGCAAACAACAACATAGTGAACAGTGCTCACTGCAAAGCATGCCGCCTGGTGCTGATGGTATAGCTACAGTCCTTTCTACAGAGAGAAGATAACCCAAGTTAATCTCTGAAGTTTTAGCTTATACCTTGTCTGCTGTCCTGAGGACAGATCATAGCCTGGTGGCTTGCCCTGATCTATGAGACAGTTTAGTTGAGGATGAGTAAAAGATCTGATTAATATTAGCCAACAGCTACCAGGGACTAACTGGATTCAAATCCTGTACATAAATTCTCATTAAAAAAAACCTAGTAGATACTTTCATCTTACACCCCACTTTGTGGAGCAGTTAATGACTGAGTGTAGTTTGCCTTACCCATTGCCCCACAACAAATCAGTGGCTGTGTTGGGATTAAAGCAAAAGCATCTGACTACAAATAATTAGTTACCTTCCATTCAATACTGATACATGGTGACCCCGTGGATGTAGATTTGTGCTGTGTGAGAGTTGGCAAGTGATGACTATATTTCTTCAGCATCTCCTCAGATGGAGTCTTAACTTCTTTTTACTTAGCAGTCAATCAATGCATTAATTGTTTGCATCACTCTTGACTCTTGGCTGACTTACAGGGCCCAGTATTCTAACCATTCCACCTTTCTGCTGAGTAATCTCCCAATTTCCTAATACTTCCTATTCTACTAGGTAGCCTGATACCAATTCCTCTTAGGGCTTCTCAGGCTGCAGATTTTTAGAACATCAAGTCTTTTCTCCTTCAGAGCAGCTGGTGGATTCAAATCATCAACCTTTCCTTTAGAAGCCACATTCTGAATCATCATGCCTCCCAGCCTTCTTTGAGTGAGAACCAGCTAGATGTGTCATATCTGTGCATGCTCCATTTTCCTTCACTAAACACAGTTAAAGAAGTCAAGCAGTGTTGAGGTTTTTCAAAATCATGGTTCTCAAAGTGTCATCCTATCAGCATAACCTAGAATTTATTGTTGTTGTTGTTGTGGTGGTGGTGGTGGTGGTGGTGTTATGTGCTATTGAGTTGGAACTGACTAAGGTTTTCAGAGGCTGTATATTGCACAGGAGGAGACTGCCCATCTTTCTCCTGCAGACCAGCTGATGTATTCAGACTACTCCCCTGTGGGTTGGCAGTGCCAATCTTTACTACTAAGCCATCAGAGTTCCTAGAATTTATTAGGAATGCTAATTATCAGGTCCCTACTCACACCTAATTAAAAGGAGCTCTCATAGTACTCCACTGCTATAGTTCTCATAAGTGCTCCACAGTTAAATAAAAGATCTGCTGTTCAAATCCACCAGCCACCCTATAGGATAAAGATGTGGTGATCGGCCTTGGAAACACAATGGGGCAATTCTAGTCTGTCCTACAGGTCACCATGAGTAACAATCAACTCAGCAGCAGTGACGTTGAAGGGCTTGGAGGGGGTTCAAACCTGCTGAATCAAAACTCTGGAGTGACCCGACTGTGCTTTGGAGGCTTCTGGGGCCGTCAAAGTATGAGACCCTTTGCTAGTTACACTTCAGTTTTCTTTTGCAGTTAAGATTTTTGGATGAACTTTTATGGTCAGAGACTTTAAAACACAGAACAAATGATGGGGAGGGATTGGGGATGAATTAACAAAGGAGGTGTCTAACACTAGGATTATTTTTTTCTATCTACAGGTCAGCTTAGACTCCCGAGTAAGAGAAGTCATCAACAGAAACATGTTGGAACCATCCCAGCACATATTTGATGATGCCCAACTTCAGATTTACACCCTAATGCACAGAGACTCATACCCCCGCTTTATGAATTCTTCTCTGTACAAAGATTTACTCAAGTCCTTATCTGAGAAGTCTATTGAAGCATAGATTTCTCAAATATATTTATTAATAAAATATTAAAATAATTCATGGACTACTTCTAGAACAAAGAACTTAAAGGTAGTGACATCTCTGGGAGTACTCCTGGGGCTATTTTAGTAACATGCTTCCTTATACAGAGGGCTATAGATTATTCACAAGGCAAATGGCTGCTTCCTTTAGGACTATTTTAGAAGGAAAATTGAAAGATGACTGCTCTAGAAAAATAATATATTTACATTTTCAGTAATAGTAATGTCCTCACCAGCAGAACACACACCAGAAGACTCCATGCTCCTGGAATTTGTGTATGGCCTGTGCACGCAGGGTTCCTTTTATTTTGCATGACTTCAGAAACTCTTCATCATCCCCGTAAGAATGTTCTTCCAGGCCACCCTGCCTCCTGCCAGGCTCCTTTCTGTACATGTATCAGTGTCATTCCTGGACATGCTACCAGTACTTGGAAAATGGCACACCAGTTTATCTCGGAAGATGTATGTGCAGCTATATGTATCATTACACAATTAATTTACAACATTATGATTTTAAGTTACCCATCCTCAGTATCTGGTAAGAGTTGCAATGTGTAGAAAATTACTTCATTACAAAGTTACCATTATTTTAATAATTTTATAACATATAAGATGAATTTTTTTAAGTTCAGTGTTTGCTCGTATTTCTAACAATGCTTTAAATATAAATGTCTTTACAACTTTTACTATGGAAAAAATCTGAGCATTTTCACTATTAAAAAAATAAAGCACAATATTTTTACCTCAATTTTTTTTCTTCATATATATTGTCTAAAGAGGGGGAAATGGAGGTACAGGGCCATGAGTGTCTCTTTGAAAGGGCCAGAGGGAGTAAGAATAATAATACAGCCCTCAGCACCCCAGAACAGAATGCAGATAAAGAGACTGTAGTCCAGTCCCATGGTTCCTCTATTGCCACACCGACAGCAAGAGGTTTATTTATTCATTCTCGACTGACAGTTGTGATACCAGGTTTATTAGGGTAGGAAGTTGAAGAGTGGGGGGGGGGGCAAAGAATATTTGCCAATACAAGTTCAGGTTTTAGTCTAACAGTTCCAGGGCACAATTCCTCAATTAGTCCAGGTTCTGGTTTCAGTTCAGCAGTCAAATCCAAATCATCACGCAGGTTTTGTCTCCCAGCAAACAAGCATTCAGCAAGTTACAAATCAGCTTCTCCTCCAGTCATCTAGCAAAAACAGCAAACACCTTTAACTGTGGCCTTTATCTCAGGGCACCTCTGTTTACATCTGGCCACGGTTTCCCCACAGCAATACCACAGTCTCACCAATAGGATCTGTTCCAGTCTCCCTGAAGTCACACTGCTACAAGTCTTGCCACCCGGTATGGGAAGCACTCTTTCTCTTGTCCTAATCCCACAGCTGATGCTGATTTGACCATGTGTCTGCAGTTAAGGTAGCTGGAGACCAAAGAGAGCTAACTAATGACTAGAAAAAGCCAACTGTTAAGGCTAACACCATACACACACACACATACACACAATATACAATATTTGGGAAATACAGACAAAAGTAATTAGGGTTACAAACAAGGTGGAAGGTATCTTTTAGCTCCTCAACAAGTGTTCTGCTTGAAGTTCTTGTTGAGGGGTGCCAAAAAAATGATTCCTTAGCAACTCTATGTTTAACACAACATAGTACAATATTGTTCAGATGCTCTGTGAGATCCCGGTGTTGGCCCATCTCTCTGAAGGTCTTCCTCACCTCAATAACCCTCTAACTTTACCACCAACCATGATGTCTTTCTGCAGGCACTAGTCCCTCCTGATTTCACACCCAAAGTATAGGAAACAAAATCTTGCATCCTTACATGTTAGGAGCTGTTGTGGGTTGACCTTTGTGTCCCCCAAAATGTGTAGTAAGTTCTAACCTCCGTGACTGTGCTTAAAATCCCATTTAGGAATGGGTTGCCTTTGTTAAATTCATGAAAGAACTATGATTACCAGGTGTGTCTTGAGCCAATATTATTTTTTAATATCTTTTTATTTATTCATTGTTGCACATTTTCTCCCCCTTTCCCCTCACACCCCAGCCCAACACTCAATGCACTCCTTGTTCCAGATTTTCCTCAGGCATATAATGCATAATCATACAGTCCTTTCAGACAGTTCTTCCCCTCATCTGTTCTAATGCAGTGTTCATTATCTATCCACTCTTTCTCCATTCCCTCCACAACCCCATCATGTCTATTTTATAACAGTGCTGTGCAGTATTAATTAATCCTTTTATGACTGAAATATTGCACTTAGCCTTACTGTCCTCAAGGCTCCCCCATGTTATATAACATTTTTCTATTTCATTGCTTTTCTTTGCTGCATAGTATTCCATTATATGAATGTGCCATAGTTTTGCTATCCATTCGTTTCCTACTTGGCACTTGGATTGCTCCCATCTCTTTGCTATTGTTAATAATGCAGCAATAAATATTAATATTCATAAATCTGTTTGAGTGCTGGCTCTAGTTTCTTTAGGGTTTATTCCCAGTAGTGGAATCCCTAGGTCAAATAGTATTTCTATTTCCAATTTTTTAAGGAAGCATCAGACCTTGCTTGAACATGACTGGGTAGGAGAAGAAATAAAAAATAAAATTAAAGTTTCTTGAAACTAATGACAATGAAAACACCACTTGCCAAAACATCTGGGAAACAGCCAAAGCAGTAATCAGAGGTCAATTTATAGCAATAAGCAAACACATCAAAA